GTGCAGCGCCGGTCATTGCACCCACCACCCCCTCCCCTAGTCCAGTGTAGCTCAGGTGTCCTGTCAGGTTTATTGTCCAGCAATAAAAAGCTTTTCAGAACAGAACAAACACTTGTAAAAGAAGACCGATCTGGGCTTTTCCTGCAAAAAATAAAACTGTGGAACATTTCACAGAGATGACATTTAGCTCTTTTATTTATTTTTAGCATTTTAGTTCCAACAAAGCCACAGATCACACACCTCCTCTCATGATTTAAACTAAACTCATCTTGTGCTGAGAAGAGATGTAGTTTTATCTGTTTTGTTCGAACGGCATTATGTGTGGCAATGGGCATAGTTTGCATAATTTGCAGGGGGGTCAGGGGGGTTATGCTTTGTTTTAGTCTGTTCTTGTCACTTTATGGCTGTATTTGCTGAATCATGTTGTAACTTTTTCCTAGCCAAGTTGTTGTGCACCAGGTAAATGCATTCTCATGGAAAATTGAGAAATTACCATACAATACCATCTTTATTCATAGAGCACTTTAACTCTCAGGACCAAAGTTGTACACATAATAAAACATGCATACATTCATAAAATCAATAAAAAATGAAAAATAAAACATAAAAAWCACTACAAATTGTGTTCAAAGGACAGAGAGAAAAGATGAGATTTAAGGAGAGATTTAAAAGCAGACAGGGATGATGCCTGTCTGATGTCCAAAGGAAGGTCTTTCCATAATTGAGGAGCTGCCACAGAAAAAGCACGGTCACCTCTGAGTTTACGCTTTGTCTTGGGCACAGTCAGGAGCAGCTGATCAGCTGACCCGAGGGATCGAGAGGGTGTTGTAGCAGATTGGACAGAGAAGGCGGAGCAAGACCATTAAGAGCTTTAAAAGCAAATAGCAAAACTTTAAAACAAATCTTAAAATATACGGGCAGCCAGAGCAGGGAGGCTAAAACAGGAGAAACATGATCAAACTTTCGTTTGCCAGTTAAAAGACATGCAGCGGCATTTTGTACCCTCTGCAGCTGTGAGATACAGGACTCACTGATGCCTGTATAAGGTGTGTTACAGTAGTCCAGCCGAGTGGTAACAAAAGTGTGGACTACTGTCTCAAAATGTTTCTGAGAGAGAGAATTGGCTTTTCTTTAGCCAGCTGCCTCAGATGGTAAAATCTTGATTTCAAATTGTTGTATAATTCATACTAAATTCGTAAAGTATTTGTTCCTGTTGTAAAAAAAAGAATCTTGGTAAAAAGAAAGCCTTTTCTTTATTGTTGAAATGATGTGTAACAGAAAAGGTGCAGAGTAAATACAGCGGGTAAAATAAGTATTGAACACGTCACATTTTTTTCAGTAAATATATTACTAGAGGTGCTAAAGATGTGAAATTTTCACCAGATG